TTTGAAAAATTATAAAGAAATTCTTGTTGAGATTTTGTACTACCAGTAAAATCAATATAGAGACGAATAATCCATGATGGAAGAAGTGTTTTAACTTCATTAGCAAGTGGTATTAAAAATGAAACTATAGATGTTTCCCATGCATACATTGCATTATCAGTATAGTTTGATGATGATCCATAAATTGAAATACCAATAACTTTTTGATTTGGTCCACGACGATCTGATTGAATACTACATAATGATAGATTCCATTGAGTAAAATTTTCATAAGTATAACTGTGTTCTACTTCTAAAGAATTCAGTGAGTTTATATCGGAAACATCCAATAGTTTTACTTTCGAAGAATTCAATGATTTCAGTTTTCCAGGAGCATAATATTTTGCATTATTTCTTTCCATAGATTGACCTGGTAAAAATAATAAAAAATCAGTGTGGAAAACAGTTAATAAAAAACCAACAAAAAAAAGGCTTGTTAAACAAACACATCTTCGTTCAAAATGCCACCGACAGCGGCGGTTAACCATTTTTATTTGTGTTGCTATCAATTAGGTGTTGTATGCTATTGAAGTACGAAGAATGCAATGATGTGTGACATTCATCAACGCAAAAACGCACTTTTTTTTAAAATTTTATATACAGATATACTTATGTTATAGGTGCAAATTGACAGCACAGCTATATATGGTTATTAGACAAGAAAAAAAGCGTGCTTATCAGGTTTGTATCAATTAATTTATTGATCACAACTTTGCATTTCTATTGTACGCAGTTTTTCAAAATCAAGAATGTATTTGAGTAGTAAAAATCATTATTTAGGATGTTTTTGTCTTGCAGTCTTTTTATTTCACGAAATCCGAATTTGGAACTTGCGATTGTTATATGTAAATATCCCGTGTTGTCTCCAATAAATAATGAGTATGGGTGTATTTTATTCAAAATGTCTAAAGACATTTACCACCCATATTACAATGAACCATACTGTAATCTAACGTTTTATTATTTAATTGATAAGAACAAAGGAATTATTAACATGAAAATGAATTTCCATATCTTGCTCTCAAGTCAAGTATGAATTAACAAAGAGAAAATGAATGCAACTTTTTATTCATTTGATTTTTTTATATTTCATAATGAAAAGTGGGAATTTTCGATCCAATTCAGTCATATTCACTCTTGTTAGTTTATATTTGACTTAATTTCAAGATATAGAAAAATTTCCCTGTTGATTATTATTATATAGCAGAACATACAATTTAAATAATTTGATTATTAAGCTTATTTTGGATTTAAACTAAATTTTGTTAATTTTCATGTTTTAAAATGTCTTACAAAATGAATTTATTTCCCAGTCATACGTTTAGATTCATGTAAAAGACAAAATTTATTACGAGTATTAGGTTATTATTTAGTTTACTTCTTGTTTATCAACAATTAATGACCCTTTCTTTCCTGTTTGGAAATAACAGAATAAGGTCGAAAATACTCGTCTATTTTATTATGAGATGTATAAAATCGAATAAATTACAAACGTCACATATTTTCTCTTTTCAATTAAAAAACCCAATGATTTCAGCGAACATTAGTATTCATTTACTAAACTCACCTTAGCCAATTTGTTATATCTCGAAGCTGTCCATATGAAAGAATTTTACATCATTGTTTTTGACATATACAGAATAAAATTAAAGAAAATGAAATCAGCAGATTGACATGTTTAAAGTAAAGAGAGATAATAGTTACGTAATGGTAGATAACTAAATTTTTCACGAAGATCTCATGTATATAAAAGCAAAATTTGATATAAAGTTACTCAAAATATCTAAGTGAATGATTCATAAATTATTTTTCCGAACTTTATTTAATAATAAGAATAATCAAATTTTAGTGAGTACTTACAAATGAAAATGAATTAATATTATAGATTTGTATTGACTAGACAACACTAAATTTGAATTGAACTGACTAACGATTGAACGTTTTTAGGTACCAAATCGCTTTTGAGTCGGAACTATGTATATTATGTAAGTTTTAATGCGCTAAGAGTACTTTGAAGAGCGTTCGAGCTAATTGCTTATTACTCAGGAATATCAGGAAAACTGAGTTTTAAATTCCTATTTGGAACTTCGCATAGAGATAGGTCTCAAAAAAAGGATAGCTTATTGTGAAACTCTCAGATTTTTCCATTAGACTTTTTCTGAAATAAAAACATCGAGGTTTGCCGTTGTATATAAACGGCGTGAACAGCATGCCTTTGTTATTGTCGCACCTTACAACAGATAGAAACAATCAAAATATCTGAAAATTTTACAATGAAGTATTCTCATTAAGGCCAGTCTCTATGGAAAGTTTCAAGCCAAAATTCGTAGCTCAGTTTTCCTGGTGTTTCTGAAAGAGAACACGACATTCTATTAAAAACGATACGGTAAAAATAAGATGCTCTGTGAAATTCAAATGTTAAGCAAGAATCTAACCTCTATGTTATTATAAATGGTTAGATAGAGTTTGAGATGCTGATCACGAATATCTACTTTTTATTGTAATTTGATCACGTTTTGGCCGAGAAAACAGCGAAATATGGACAAGATGCCAGAAGACTAATAAAGTGAGTCATCTCGAAACAGTGGCGTACGCAGGGGGGGGGCGAGGGGGACGGCCCTCGTCCCACCCCAGCGACCGCCGGTGAGCTGGTTTGTTTGGGGCCGG